TTGCCAATGGAATTATTACGCATTACAGTTATACGCTGCGATGTTTCAAGTGGCTCGCACAGTTTATGCGAACAATTTACGTTTAATTAAACGTGAAATCATTAAATTTTCGTTAACTTACAACGATGTTTCTTCTCTTGTTGACGTCTTAATGGGGTCGTAAATCTGAACCAAACACGTTTTGCATTTAATTTTTAGATACGAAAAATACAGAAGGTATCTGCCCCAGAGAGGTAATTTTCCATTTTGGACCTGAAAGAACAACTGAAAAATGCACCGGATGATTATGTTCAATTTTTATTCTAAAATGTTGTTGTGTTAACCAGTGTTTCACGTAACACTCGAAGTACTGCAAAATTTGATTTATATCAATTTATCCAAAATTAATAAATCAAAAGTTTCTCTCTAAAAATACGGTTCTCAATTTTTTTTTGTAATCGAGCTTGAGTGTCTTACAGTACGACGAAATAGAAGATATTTGTAATAATTATGACATTTCCCAAGCTCTTGGCATTCTAAACATATCTTTAAATATTTCAATTCAATTACTGAGTTTCATTTTTTTGTGCATGCAGTTAGTTATTTTTTTTAAAAAATATTCAAAGTCATTATAATGTTATGTTATGAGATTTAATATTACTGCTGAACTATAATATTTAAAAATACAGAGGAAAAGAAAACGGCATTTAAAATAATTTCATATCAATGATACTGTAATATAAACATCTTCATAATTTTATACGTAGATGCTAGAGTTTCGAGTCGCTAAAAAGAAAATATTCATTGGCGTTTTATCAATCACAAAGGTGTAATATATTATTGTAAGATAGGACGTAGGATGGCGTAGTGAGAGGGAAAATAAAAACAACATTTTTTTTTTGAAAATAACAAACGAATAGTCATAATCACTAATTTTACATTTTTTTTTTGTTTTTTTTTTACATTTTCAAAAATTCATACATAGGAACAGAATATTAAATTTTTAACAACTTACAACAGTGCGTCAACTACTAACATAAGTGCATTGACACGTATAATTTGTATATAATAATATATTTTATTATTCGTAACTTTGAATATAGTTATGTTATATTATTCTTATTATATGTATGATATACAACTGTATATAAAGTAGTAGTACTATTGATAACAGAATTTCAATTTGGGGTAACATGTATTATTTTGTATGTATGTAATAAGTACTAAAATGACTAAGCATGTTGGCACATAAACATAATATGTTAAAAATAGGTACCTATATTTAATTTTATTGTTTATTAAATTAAAGTAGACGGACAAGTAACAATTTCAATAACATTCTATTCGTTCATTATACAATTTTTTTTTTTTTTTTTAAAAAGATATTTTAATGTTTTAGCCTTTGCCAATAATCTTAAGACAGAAAAATCACTAGGTCTTTGAAAATTGAATTTCAAGTATAATTCTAATTATTGAGCGGGTTTTTATTAATGTATAGTAAAATAACCCAAACACAATTGTTCAATTTAATTTAATTTTAATCAAACTCGTATAATAATTTTGTAAACAGAAGTTGTTGTATAGATGTAATAATAAAACGTGTAACAGACACTATAAGGAAAATTGGATTTTTGTTCAGGTAAGAGTAGAAAAAAAAAAACTATAGCTAAAAAAAAAAATTAAAATTAAAATATATATATATTTTAATAGTCCAACGATTTTAATAAATTATTGTTTTATTTCGAAGTATGATGAAATTTAATGTCACAATAATATAATATTAGCATTTTGTTCTGTATAGGTCCAACAGTCCAAGCATAAAAACGCATAACATTAAAATAGTTTATTTTGGATAAAATTTGTACTATGTTTCAGTTCGGAAAAGGTATAACAGAAAAAGGGATTAGATAAATTAAAATTAAAAGCATACCTCCGTTGCGAATTGGTGCACATGCAATGCACATTTGATAGGCATGTCAATTATTTAATTAATTAAAGTATTGAATTTATAACAGAAATGTAGTAAAAATCTTAGAATATAATATTACAGGCTACCTAAAGTATATGTATTCTTGGAATTTTAATGTAAAATTCATAAACCAATACATATTATATATTATATCGAAAGTCATAAATCTAGAACAGATCGACTAACCCTTACATAGTATTGTAACTAATAACTCGTTTTATTAATTATAAAATGTTAACAATGGTTTAATTTTAAATAGTTAAAACTATAAAGTCTATTTAAAAAAATGGAACTAAATACCTTTATACATTTATAATTGGTTAGGTACTTTTTTAAAAAAAATTTTTATTATGTACAATCATTAACAAAACTGTCCATTCGGACGTTTTCCATATATATTATTTATATATCATTATTATATCAATGTGATATAAAATCGTAATAACTTTTTTTTTTTTGTAATTTAATCATGAATGTACAACAGAACCGCAATTATTTTCAATTTGATAAGAAATGTTTATAATATTAGATTTCGAAATCAATAGTTATTCAATATAACGAAATCATAAGTTAAGTTTAATAATATACGGTTGCCCATAAATTTATATGAACATTATAAAGATTATGATAAATTAATAATTGACTTACAAAAAATATTTAAAAATCAAATCTAGACTCTTCAGTTATGTTATATGGACTATTTCGACTTCTACGTCTACACGACGAATTTATTTAGTAAAAGTATTAATGAATATATTCAATTATCAATGGTTTCAAACAGGAAAAAAAATTATACTCGATATTGTGTGTGTGTGTGTGTGTGTGTGTGTGTGTGTGTGTGTGTGTGTGTTTATGAACATGTAAAATGTATACCATACATATAGTATTACACATGAAATAGATTTGTAATTAATATTATACTGCGAATCAGGTAGAATACTTACCTAGTACTGTTGTTATACATATATGTTTTTGTATAATTCTCAGTACTAAAATTTGATCGATAGAATAACAAAAACAATTTTAAGTTAAGCCTAAGCAACAAATGTATGTACATCAATATACATAAACAGACGAAAGCCCGTGACAGCTGAGCCAGTTTAAATGTAGTTGTATATATCATACGGTTTCACTAAAATCTTTCATAATGTATAATATTAATTATAATAATATTACGTATAACATAACTATAATTTATAATAATATAAGTAAATACAAAACTTGCGAACTTTCATGATTTATCGATTGCAATACAATATACGTCCTACTCTTCCGTCCACACTGTTGGTATTTTGTTATATATATATATATAGATAAGTTACGTAACGGATAGATACGTTTGTCTTGACCAGTCAAGATAATGTAAAACGTTTATTTGTTGGAAAAAATCAAATCGGCATCATGTCAATGCTCTAGAGATATGTAATTAATTTATATGAGATGGTATTGTGTGTTGCTGTTATGTCAATGAACACAATGAAAATCAAATTAAACGCAATTTGAAAGTTATTGCAATGGTTAAATCATCAGAGTTACATTGTATAATTGAAATATATACGACAAATTTAGTTTCAAACAAATATTTTGTTAATTTATACTAACTTACTAACTAATAAGAACAAAAAAACAATATATAGGAAACATTTCTAATGCCACGATTCAACTATTTATTAAACATCGTAAGAAAATTGATTACTTAAAAAGTTAGCATAAATTTATTATGTTTGTTCATTAACAGCGTCAAAATTATTGTGTGAATGTATATATATATATAAATATAATAATAACAAAACAAAAATAATAATTATAATAAATACGATTTATTGTTAAAATATTCTAAAGAAAAAAACTTAAAAATGACTTGCAATGATATTACTTAGAGATGAAACAAAACAATCTAAAAAAAAATGAATTATGGCCGAAATATAAACCTTAAAATTTTTAAGCTTTTAATTATTTGTTTATATGTTTATTCATCAACGAAAATAACAATAATATGTTTTAAAATAATATTTCATTGGAACAACTATTTGAATGACGTTTATTTAAAACCTATTTCATGTTTAGGAATGTCTGTAATAATCTAGTAACAATTTATAACGACTCTTTTAAAAACAAAAATATTAAAAACAAACAAACGTTTGGTCAATGTATGCAGTAACCATTGCAATGCATTCGTGTTGTTATATTTAGCGTATACAATAAGCTAATAAATATTTTTCACGTATGGAAAAAACAAACAAACAAATTACAACAACTTATAACTGATGAATCAAAGTTATTCAGTAAGTATCTTAATGGTGATTCACAATTTACAGGTGTTAAAATATTTAAATTGGCAGTGTACTATTATATAATCATATATAAATTGTAATATATATATATATTTATAGTGTTAGACGTATGATATTTTGGGTCGACGAATATTTAAGTAGAATGGCCCATTTTATTTCGATAAAATTTAAGTAGAAATACGCGATTAACTGAACATTTTGGTGTAAATGCGATTCCATGATTTCAATAGCTGATAAAATTTTATGCTCGTAAATAAACTATATTATTATTATAATGATCGATTTGCCTTAAAATATGTACAGCGAATAAAAAAAACACAGCCTCGCAAAACAATGCTACGTCCAACGAACTATTATAATAGTTAATACTATATCGAGAAGATGAATATACCAAAGGAGTATTATTATAGGTCGTAATGATTCCTACACGTGTTTCATAATTATTATTGTTTTTTTTATTTTTTTCTTTTCATTTTTCTCTTGGTATTCGTTCGCCTAAATTAAACTAAGTATTTAAGCTGATTTCGATGAATAAATGTAAAAATAAATGTTTAACAAAAGTATTGTTGGCATTGCATTGTTCTTTAAGGGTTATATCAAGTATATAAATCTATGTAAATACATATTATTATAACTTTAAGCTTAAGTGCCTATAATGAGGGCGTACGAGTAAATTATAACAATAATAATTATAATATTTTAGAAAACAGTGATAATGATTTTTATCAAATACAATGAACAATTTTATATTATGTGCAACAATTTGTTTAACGTAATAATAATATACTAAAAACAAAACGAAAAACAAAATAACATTTGAAATAAATAACAAAACCATTTGATAGACGCCTGGCGTGTTGAGAAAGTTGCCGGCCAACATAAAATTAGTGTAAACAAGTATAAAAAATTCGTACCTGATGGACGAGATGTGAGCTTCAGGTTACTTATGAATAAATTGTGATGACTTCACGACCTCCGCCTCTTACCATCAGCACTTTGTCGAGACCTTCGGTCATAACTTCTAAGAATTCCATGTCTACAAAGAAATGGAGTTAAGAACAAATTGTTTACATTAATAATAAATCGGTAGTTGATAACGGTTGGTAATAATTTATGAACCAGCGCAAATGATAATATCAAAAAAGGAAATTGTATACTTGATGTAAGTTTGCATAACACTATAGTGAAATAGTGTTTGCGTCGTATTCACTTCTAAGCTCTAGGAAATCGATTTATATAGAATTGAATGATAAAATTATATACGTGATCAACATTATGATAATTTGGAAAAAATAATATAAGCTTAACAAATTGAACAGCATTGAATATGGTATTCAAGTATAATAAAAGGATACAGTTGGATTCTCTCTCTAATTTGGTGTCTTTAGGCGGTCCTGGTAAGTTGAATATAACCAGTTGAGCATCTCTTGATCTACTGACAATTACTTCGTTCAACTTCACAGCTGTGTGCATCCTTCTCACATTGTCCTCGTCTCTGCATGACCAAACATGTTTTAAATACAATAATTGTTTACCAAAACATGTTATGATGAATATTTAAACTAAATAATTACGGTTTTAATGTTGATGTAGATGAATCTTTTGTCTCTCTTGGCAATGAATCCTTTAACACTCCTGGTTTATCTCCATTGCCAGATCGTTTATCATCCGCGTCAAATGCACTGTCCACCTGTTCCATTCAAAATTAATATTTCATATAGCTAGTGTGAAATTATATTATAATCTAAGCTTACCGGTTTTGATTTTTTTGCTTCATCGTCTGCATTGGTTTCTTCTTGAAAACGAACTTTAGTAGCCGATCTTCCTTCAGATGCATCCTTCCTATGGTGTTGGTCTATTATGGATTGTACCTATATTATTGGAATATAAAGGTTATAATCGTTTGAAAAAAATTGTGTATTGAACGATTAAAAACACGTAAAAATACATTTTATGGTTTGCAGCCCGTTTAAAATACATATATATATATATACAAACAAAATGATTAAAAATTAAGAAAAAAAAAACACGTTTGAAAATAATAATATTAAGCATTAACTACTTTTGCTATACTGCAATTATACTATTCATTGGTGGTGATTTATATAAAATCAATAATGTAACGTTACAAGGAATTACGCTCTAACGTTAATTATTTTGAGTCAACGACTTTTAAAAATCAAAGCGAGATCAAAAATCAGTCGTTAATTATAACAACAACAATAAAAACATAATTATTATAAACAGTATAAAAATAATATATGTTTCTCTACAATATAAAATTATTATCTAACATATATATTGGAAAAGGTACGATAATAAATAATTTTCTTTCAAACTGATTTATTTTGATATTGAAGAAGAAAGCAACTAATTACATTAATAACGATGACACTAAATTTTAGCGCTAAATTTTAAATGCAAATATTTTTCATAGAGAAGCATTAAGTTCTATAGATATGTAAATACTGTTTGCTTATTATCTACAACATATCTACTCTACTTCACTTAATTAAACACTACTAATATTTATCTACGTATATTTAACAATTCACTAGGTACATTTACACTAAAGCGTTCCTAGAAGTTAATATAAACTGAAACAAACCAGTGGTGTGTTCTCTCCAGTCGGTGTTTCTCGATTGAAATCTATGATATTACGCATCTTTTGTAAGCCAAAAAAAGATAAAACAACAAACCAAAAGCCGTGTTTAAAGACAGTAAAAATGAAGGAATAATCGAATACTTCCACTTATCATTAGTTACAATATATTGTCCTATGGGTTAGGAGTATTAATACATTAACACTTACCATTCCGAAACTCTCTTTTTTATTGAGTCTGAGTTCTCTTAACATTTGATTTCGTTGTTCCATCATAAGCGTTCTCTCGTACGTGTACGCTGAAATGTCGTTATTTGTCTGAAACAAAGAAAAAATTCTTAGTGAACGCGCCTATTTAAAATTCAGAGTTACGGGGTAATATAATACATTATTTTCGAAACGAAACGGTGCTCGTCGGATTGCCTACCATTTCGACTACTTCGACTTCCGCCGGTATCCGAAGCTGGTACAAGAATGTTTTCAGATCTTTTTTCATCTGGATGGAGTTATCATCGGTCTGCGCCACTGTGAATATTCTCAATTTGCAGTTTTTCCAGGTTCTGTGTTGTTTCAGCAAGAACGGTATGAGCATAAGGATACCTCCGTCGTGCACGATCCACCAAATGTCGATCGTGCCTGATAGCTGCGCGTGAAATAATTAAAATACGTTAATACGAAAGAAAAATTTAAAAAAAAAAAAAACCGGTAATAGTAATATATTTACCTTGGTCGCAGAATCTGGGAACGATCGAATGCCTTTGGGTACGATCAGAGCCATTTTAGCAGCCGTGACGATACGGATGGTGTGTAAGAACACTTGCCACGATCGATCGTTCTCGGACTGCTGCCAGCTGTTGGGCCAGCCCAGAATGACGGTGTTGGGTTTTAGTCCTCCGAGTCCGGCGATTTGTATCCTGACGGCGAAATATTATAAAATCAATAACAAATCGACCAGCGACAGCGGTCATAAAATCAAATCCAAGGAACTCACAAATGGCTGAGGCCCTCCGACGTGTTTTTGGCGACCAAAACATCCGCGAAACCTTTGACTTTTTCTTCGTCCATCAACCGCACCAGCTCTTTTTTGGTCGATTGTACGTCGACACCTGTTTTCTTAATGTAATCGCCCTCGATCACGGTTGCACTCACCGTCAGCCCTTTTCCCGCCTTCAACTGCGACACCAACGAAAATATTTTACGATACTTGGGCAGGTCTGCGTTGAAATTGACCAGCATGAGTATCTGCGGACGCCAGTTCTTCGTGTGCGGCGGCGCGTCTTCCAGTCGCAGTAAACTGTATCTGGCAGCCGACAAAGCCAAACCACGCATACCGTCTCCCCATTCTTTCTCGGCTCTGCAACGTAAAACGTTTAGGATCGCGAAACTTGTCCATTTTACAAGGGGTGAAAAAAACAAAAAAAAACAACTAGTGCGTAATATAATTTGAAATGGTCGTTTCTATTCGTTCTCATACGCTGCAATAAATCGCGAATGATTACACGCTGGACGTATTTGATCCGCTTAGTGTTTTTTTGTTTCACATTAAGGTTAAACGTGTGATAGACAAAACACTGATAGATAAAAGGGGGAAAAAATATAAAAAAGTCGTACAGCGTGAAAAAAATTTAATATTTTGCAAATATTATTTCTCCTGCACGGCTTATACTATTAACTTACCCTCGGTATTCGATGTATTTATAAATTACTCCGGCCATGCCCAGAGCTATCAGTGCGAAATACCAACTGGACATGAACATGACAGCGATACATAACACGAGTCCGGTGAACGACAGAGTCCTGTGGAATTGTACACAAAACCGGGTTACATAAGATAAGTTTAGTGAGTTGAGCGTGTCGCTATTAATTATGCGCACACACATATATATTAATAATATTTATAATTGAAATCGCACGGAAACATTTTCAAATATTCTTACGCACATTATGTACGTCTGTATATATGTATAAATATATGTATCTACGCAGGACCGTATTCAGCGTAGGGCAAGAGAGCATGGGGCCAGGGGTGTAATTCTAAGAGGCATTTCTACACAATTGTAAAACAAAAAAATTTGAAGAAAATTACATGTTTTTATAAAGTATTGATTGTTAATATTTTAAAGTAATAAATATAGTTATTAAAGTTAATTAGTAATTATTACTTTGTATATTATGTTTTTATACATGCTTTATATATCTAAAATGATTTTTTGTAAAAAAAATGCAAATTTCCTATTGGTGGGGGGGGGACATACATACAGTGATTCACCAGGGATGTCACCAGACCTCAATACGGTTCCGTAAGTACGTATGACGTACGCGTAGACGATACACAACTCACCAGTGGTAGTATTTAAATCGAGGTCTCCAGTTCGGCGTACGCAGTAACGTCTGCAGGACGCATGCCAAGTTGACAAACGCGTAACACATGAGCAGAAACATGGCCAAAAGCGGAGCAAGATTATCGATGTTGCCAATCAGTATACCGCACTGACACACGACCACGGTGATGATCAGTGCCCGGGTGGGCTCGCCGGACGCCGATGACTTGGCAAACGGTTGCAGGAACGGTATAATGTCGTCCTTAGCTATGGCCTAACGGACGGACGGGTCGACCGGGTGAAACAAATAAAATGATCATCGATTATTCAACGGACACGGTCATCGGACCCTTTGCCTCGTGCGCGATGCGATGGGATCCCGCCACTTACTTGCAACAGTCTCGGCGCTCCGGTGAGGCTCTGCAGTCCGGCTCCCAGCGTGGACAGCGTCGCTCCCACCAGGATCACCCATTCGTTCGGCCACGCGATGTTGGCCACAACCAGCCGTCCTCCAATGCTCTGGCCGAACCTTCGTCAGAAACACATACCGGTCTTAACGAAACACCTCGGGACATTGACCGTTGGTTGGCAAGTAGGTTTGCTCGAGAAACGTTGCCGATCGTCGGATCCCAAACGGCTCCCGTCTACTGTTTATTTATTTCCAAACGGCTTCCGCCAAAAAAGGTTTTACGAACAGGTGAATTCCCAAACGGCATCGTTGAAAAAAAAATATACAAACAGGTACAATCGTGTAACTGTAAACCCTACGATAATTATTGGACATATGCACGCTTGTCTTCCAAAACAGCTTACATAATAATAAGTGCGCGATGTTGTTACGCGCCTCGCGATGCTGTTGTTATACAGTATATACAGTTCCTGTGTATCATATTTTTAAATTTAAAATTTATAAAACGGAATATCGAAAATATGTATAATTATGCCTAACAAATTTACCCGCGATATATGATTTTTTTTTTTTAAGATTTTTATTTATACAAACATTTATTACATTTTTTTCATATTTTTTTAACATTAAAAATTTAAAATTTAATATTATACTATAAGATTTTTTTTTTACATTTAACTGTATAATTTTAACCATTTACTTAGTGTACACCAAGATATTTTTAACCTTACCTCTTTTGAGATTGTCCTAAGTCTGTATAAAGTGGAAGGAATTTGTGTTGTAAAAAACCGTAGCCGTTTAGGAATATACCTCTTCGTTAGATGTTTTTTGATGGGAGCCATTTGGAAATGGACCTTTTTTTAAAACGGGAGCCGGATGAGCTACCGATAACGTGTGTTCGATGTTTCGTACGATTAAAATTGTGAAATTGAATACGTATTATATTTGTATCGATTCCGTATGCGCTAGATATCGCGTCGGCCGATCGTAAAATATTTTAAAAGCGTACGTTGTCAAAAATGCGGTAAATCGACGGGTCCGATTGAAACATTTGTGTGAATACAATGTTCGGATTGCGTGGTTCGTTGTGCAACCGTAGTCTTAGTATAATATTATTTAATCAAGTTTTCGCGCTGACGGCACTTAAATCTTTGGTACATAGATGAAAGGATAAAATTATCCGTACTGAAATAATGGAAACTCGAGAGTTTTATAAACGACCGAGTTGACGCTGTGTCTCGTTGACCGTTTCGTTTATGACAGAACGTTGACATCCAAACATTTCATCCAGAGAAAACGCTTAGTTTGACTGAACGAGAATAAATCGGGACGGGACGATAGCGTGGAACCATTATTCTATTGTTAATAATATTATTATTATTTGGCCTAATTTCGTCAATATTTTGTGTGAACCATATTTATTGCAATTTTGAAAATGATCTCGTTGGAATTGTTTAAACCCAGAGCGTGTTGAAAAAGAAACGTGCGAGACTATATATAGTATATATATATATATATATATATATATACATATTCATGATAAAACGTAAAGTGACAGCATGAAAAGTACACATCCGCGGAGAAATGATGATAATATCGTATACTTTACTGCTACATATTATTTGTTCTATATAATCTAATCCGTGAGTTTTTCGTCAGGTTTTGCGCATTTACGTGAAACATTGAATGAGTCGTCCGGCGACACGCATTATAAGCTCGTGTGTGTCCGATATGATAAGATTTTTTTCGGCACATAATATTTTAATACAGTATTTAATGTCAAAAACTCAGCGAGCTCAATTTGATATTATGGTAATAACATGATGGTCGATTTTATGCATTGATGTATAGCCGGATAATATAATAATATAATAATATTAAATATCGCGCCTGATGTATTATTGATTCGGAAATTCGCGTGTGATACAAACCATAAAGTAAACGAGACACGCTGTTGTGTTTTACTCGAGTATATGTTATAGAATATGTGGGATATACACGATGCTAGAGAAAACACTACCATCTATTCTATCACGAATAAATGCGTTTTTTCCCCCAGAACATGTGAAAAACAACACACACGTAAGAAGAAAAAGGGATAACAACAATCTCCAGTCCCTTTTAGGGCGTTCAGCTGAAATTAGATTTCGTTGGATTTACTCCATGTTGTTCATATTTTATACCGATAAATTAGATTTTATACATTCAGTTGTTTAATCAACTCTTAAACATACTTGAAAGTAAAGCTGGAAGAAAACGTATTTAAAATGCGGACGAAGTTGTGACACTATTATACTTGTAGGATTTTATTTAATAAGTATACATGCGACGGACACGGCAAAATATAGAACGAGAACGTTGATGGATTAGATACGAAATAAATATATTTCTCGATAAACAACTACTACGTTTTCTAATATTATTTTATTGTGATCGTAAAAAATTGAGTTTACTTGTCTCTAAGTAGCAAATTGTCCACGGTGGCTCCGAACAGCAAGACGGCTGATAGATAAACCGAAGATGTGCTTAAAATAGCTAATATTGTACCGATGGGAATGGATTTTTGTGCGTCCGCAAGATCTCCAGATCTGTTAGAACCAGCCATTATCCCTATGCAAAATTAATAATAATATTAACGAGTAACGGAGGAATATTAATTTTTTGATTTTATTTTTGTTTAGCTTAAAACAAATACCAACCGGTTACGGACGGGAAGAATATGCCAATTAGTATAGTAAACGACGTGGTGATGTCTACCATTACCATGTTGTACGTGTTCTTGCCTAACGGCTGAATGTCTTCAACCTTATGACCTCTGGCTATGAACTGTCCGGCTTCCAAAAAGTTGCCAAAAATATTTTCTGTGACAAATTAAATAAAAATAAATATCGATGCCCGTTTTGTTAGTATTACGCAGACAGCCTTCTGGTTAAACATTTTTAACGTTGGTTAGATAAGATGATTTTCACGTTCGAGTTTATGTACACTTTTTCGCGCACCGCACGGTTTTATCTTTATTGTCAGTAAAAAACGATACTCGAGAGTGTATGACATATACAACGAAAACGATGGCTGTAAGCTTTCAGATTTGTAAACACTGTTAACGGTCAACCGCGTTCCCGGTAAAAGTAATAATGAATTATAATGCATTTCTCGATTAGAATATCACGTTTTCACCATAATCAAATATACGAGTTATTGGTTTATTATTTATTCAACGTCGCAACAACGGTTTTACGTTTCCGAAAAAGTAATTCCGCACAAGTGTGTTAAACAGAGACCATTCTCAGAGCTGATCGTTTGGATGTTTTCTTATTTATTTTTTTTCTCTTATCGTGGTGGACGATTGTGATTCGACGGAAAATAAGAAAACAGGAAAAAAGGTTTGCATTCGATGACAAATCCGCGGTTCGCTGTCGTTCTATCATTAATACGCGTAACATAAAGTACTAACCGAAGAAAACCCCACTGCTGATGCCTCGGATGCCTTTTATTACCGTCGTGTTGTGCATTTCGAAGTAGCTGTCACACGGTCCGGTTCCGTTGGCGCAGTATATGTTGTACAAGTAGCCGCCTACCGCTTTGTTGCAGTGCCTTAAGTCGACGTCCTTCAGCAGCCGATTTCCCAGCGAGCACGAGCTGTGCGTGAAAAATATTATACGCGCAATCACATAACCGCTCGTGATATATAATATAACATGGTCGTAATACCCATTAGTGGTGGTGATGGGGGGGGGAAATTTAATTGTCTACAGGTTTCCTTTATACAAATCCCTTAAAAGCTATCCTCGGCATGGATTTAGAGAAAAGTTTTATCCATTAGGAAGATTAGATTTTAACATTACCACGTTATCGTGCTTCATTATCATATGCTCAGGGAAAGAACGAAAATTTCAGAAAAAAAAAAAATCAATCCAATAGCAAACGCCGGCGCGCTCTCTGAACGCGGCCGTCCTTTCGCTCCGCGTGAACGTGTTGTAATAACAGGACCACCATTGGCGCACATACGGGGGTGCCAAGAGGTGTTTAGCACCCCTAAGTTCTAAATTAGTACCCCCAGTTTATTTTGAGCCAAAAACATTATTTAAAGAGGATTATTTCGCATTTATAAGAATGAGTAAACTTTAGTTTGCATTGGTGATGCACTAATAATGCTGGAATAACATTTAGGATTTTGGTTTTGTTTACTGTCTACAAGTATGATCGCTTATTGATAAAAAATAGTGATACTTATTAATAATATTTAGTTATAACATAGAAAATTGCTACATTTACAATTAAATGGTGAAACTAAAACATTTTTTTTCCAAGTAATTTTAGGGGTTTTGTGAGGGGAGCGGTGGCTTTGCTCCCCACGGATCACCTTGAGGTGGTGGACAATTTCAGCACCCCTAAGTTTGCACCTACGAGGACCACCACCCTTAAAACAGGACCGACGGCGTGATGTGTACTTACAGGAGTTTGTCGCTACCGTGGAAGTTGTAGAAAATGCCCACGTACACGGACAGTATAGACAGCAGCACGCAGGCGAGCGCCACGGACGCGAATTTGTTGACGAACTTCACGCCCACGTACACGATCGAGCTCATGACCATCAGCAGTATCGTCCCGTACACTCGGAAGTTGTTGTACATTACGCCGCTGTCTTTGGTGAAGTCGCCGAAAATCGATAGACTCGGCGCCATGTACGTCTGTCGGAACGCGCAGTAATGAGGTTCGACGTTACGTTCAATATCGTCGTTGGGGCAGGGGTAGTGGGGGTGGGGAAACGGTACGCGCGCCTACACCACGACGCAACACGTTGGTGCATACGTGGTTCAGGTTTCGAACACTGACCGAAATAATAAAAGTTCCCGTCGGTGGACTCGAGCCACCGTAATGAAATGGTATAGGTAAATATTATTCATGTGCCGTCGATATATTTAGGTAATAATCATAAAAATGACGTATTAACTGACTGAGATTTCGTCGATGGGGGGGGGGGGACTTTGAACCCCCAAAGCCAGTCCCCTTACCTACGCCACTGGTCGTCTCTTGTGTAAATGATTCGATGCACACGTCTGTTATCATTTGCCTATTGCGTTCAGTCAAATACCGAATTGTAAATTGTTCTAATGAAAAGTATAAGCAAAAACACAGGTCAGTACACGAGAACGGTTCGCTCGTTTCGCAGTCATTCCCGTAGTACTGCACCTGGTGCAATAACGTGCGTTCGCAGAGATAGGTTACGCAGGTTGGATATCATACTTGAAACCGGTATTGACCAACAGTATTCGTTGTCGTGTAATCTGTCCAAATCTGTAACCACATTCAATTTTTTCCTCAAGGATGTTTTTATTCGAAACTCAAAACTGGCAATGACATTTGTAGTAAAGTTTGTAATAAAAAGCGAATGCTGGCGTGAGACGTCACTGCAGCATCAAAAACAAAAATATCTGATTTTCACACCGCTTAGGAGGCGGTGTGTGAAATTTTCGGAGAGTGATGTATACCGATTGTGCAACATATTTTGCTTCCGGTTTAGAGTATATAATTTGGCTGGCTGCGGATGCTAGTAGCGTAACCCATCTTGTCTAAAGTGTGAACACGTCTCTCCGTTTTACGCAAGAAATAATACAACGGTAAACGCTATATATGGATTGTCGATGGAATCAAATATATTTTGCAACATGATTATATCTTATAGTGTGACACCCGACGTGACGTTTCAATTCTTTATCGTAATAGATCACGAGTCCCGTTACGTATTATTACAATATTGATTTTCTGTCGACTATATACTCACGAGGATGATTTCCACAGCTCCGATGATGTACATGGACGCGGCTAGAGTTATACCGGTGTAAAAGAGCATACCGACAGCTCCCCCGCACTCAGGACCTAGAGACCTGGATATCAAGAAGTACGGCCCGCCAGCCGGCACCACGCCGTTCGTGGCTATTGCACTCATCGATATAGCGGTTAACATTGTCTGGAAAAAAGAAAAAAAAAAACGAAAACGAAACGCATTAAAATTAATAAACATATATACGCGGAGGACTTTGACTGAGCCAAAATTTAAAGGGACGGGGAGAGGTTTTTACGCGTCACCACTGCATGTGATGTGTATTATAATAGCGGGGGCGTATACAACGTTCGAGCGGACAAACCGGAGTTCAATCTCGGCGTGTCGTTAAAAATCACAACCGTCACTATATGCATTTAAGTAATTGGACGGGCGCGTAAAAGTTTATGTGCAGAAAATCATGTGAGCGTGTATTTGGCCGAATGATTTGGAGGATACATTCTATATTCCATATAAATAAATGTTATTCGTGTATAGGATAATGGGTTGCATTAAGATAATTAAACCATGAACGTGATACGAGTAGTCATGAATAATGTTGTAAAACGATCTTTTTTTACACGTATCATGGTTTGTTGGACTTTTCGTTTAACATTAGGTTTAATGTAATTGTAAATCTGTAATCAAGACCAGTTAAAGTAATAAAAAAAAAAAAAAAAACGTACAAAATGCGTGATCATCATTTGTATAGTTTTCATTCATTGACGAGTCAATTCATCTTTTTCTTTTTCTTTTTTTTAACACCACGTATTTAAAAATAATATTTTCGAAAAATAAACAAATGTTGTTGCGGAATCGTATAACAAACGGCAGATTTTCGGAACGGTATATCAATAAGACGGGATCGAGGCTGAGAAATGCACTATAATATTCACCTCTTACTCTTCGAATATTTTATTACGAAAAGTATGTTTTCACAATAACTTCATAGTTGTCCCGAAGATATGATATAGAATTTCATGCATAGTCAGTAAGGTCAAATTCTATAGGTGGCAATCCGAAGTAATGACGGCGAAAACGTCATAACGGTTTATTTGCATGAAATCTCGATTCTCAATAAGAGATACTTAAAGCTCAAAAGTAATGCATAGTAGAAGTTGTGTAGTGGGTATATGTTATATTAGTTATGCACGCAACGTATAATGGTGTACCAAGCGATGGAAAATATGCATCCGGGGACAAATTATTAATACTTGAAATACGAAGGACGCCATCTGAACAATGTTCTCTACCGTATAATTGTTCATAAAGAATAAGTTTAGATTAAAATACGAAATTTCTAAAGTGGGTCAAGTTTATAATAGCACATATATTATTGTAACGTGTGGAGAGATACACGTGCGTGTGTCAACTTAATTCTTATTCAGCATATACCTGCTGCTATATGTGTTTTAAACAATACAAGACCAACAAGTAATAAGCAATTCGCCAGTTGTCAAAAGCAAACTTTATAATAATTGGTTGTTTTTAGTTATAAGTTTAATGACTTGGTTGCTGCGTGGTGATGATGTACTACTGCATCGTAGTCGTCCGTTAAAATATGTGTCGTCGTCTTCTGGGGATTGAGACGGAGAGAAATAAGTCATGACAAAAAAAAAAAAAAAGAAAAAAAAAGAAAAACATAAAACAGAGTAGCACATTTTATCATTGTAATAGAACACGCAACGAGAAAATTAGTTTGGTCGGCATTTAACGGAGTGTTATTATATAATTAAAGCACTCTCGGCAGTACCTTTGGTATATTTACAACGATGCACGTGGGTTAACTCCCTACGGAAATTATTTTTTCTTCAGAATTAAATTAGGTATGATTTAATATTCCCGTGAAAACCTATCCGTTGAAAATTGTTTTTTTTTCTTTTTTCGGATGAGTCTCGACAACACTCAGAGGATAGTCTCACGAGAGCCTTCAATCCTCGGTCTATTGTTATGATTCGGTGGTTGGTCGGGAGAAACATATTTAGTCGAAAAAGTTTATAGTTTTTTAGAATTTATAATTTACAATTAGTTATTTTATTATAAAGTAATTTGTTGTTTTTCAAAATTTATGCAAAATATCGGTCTAAAGGTATTATAAATATGAACAAAAGTTTTCTTATTAGGTAGCGATAGAATTTGAATTTTTGAATTCTGAAAATTCTAAACTTTTGACTGTGATTTTAACCGAGATTTTCCCAAGCATCACCGAATTATTCGCGTTATCACGCAATTCAGTCGTTATGCTAATGATAATATACTAATGTTTACCACGCAGCAACAGGTAAACACGATTCCGAACCCATAGATGACGCCTGCCGTGCCGACCACCCATGACAACCGGATGAACAGTATGACACCGAAGATGTTCTGTACGCACGGAAGGTACACGCCGACCAACGTGCCCATCCTGGACGATCCTTGTTTGGCGGTGGTGGACTTGGTATCAGCATCCGCCAGGTTCGGGATAGTGTTCGAGTAGTCGGCGATCGAATTGAGAAAGGTGGGCACTCGCGGCCGGTCGTCCATTTCTTCCTGTAAAAAGCATCGAGTGCGGACACGTCAAGAAAATATTTTGTTACACAATATAATAATAATAACAATAGTAATAATAATAATAATAACATGGCGATATTTTGATATTCGATCTTTATTTGCCACCAACCGCTTGTATGTATGGTTCGATCAAATAAAAAAAAAAAAAAACATACGTATGAGTCTATTCCGAACATGGGTAATAAAATAAACGATGGACCTCGAAGGACCACCATAACACATAGAATGATTTAAACATTTTGATTTCCCAGCTGTTGCAAGGGGTCTTATAATAATCGACGAGTGTCCTTCTAAAAGTATGAACGGTTAACTTACCAGTTCCGATACGAGTTACCTAATTTTTTTCATGTTATAAACGAGTCCTAACTGTTATTTTATCATCTGTAATTCCAAAGGGACTGTAAAAAAAAAAAAAAAAAATAATACAAATTGATCGGTTTTTTGAAATGTGAAAAATATGCTAAAGACCCAAAATGTTCTTCGAGTTGTCGAGTTATCGTTGTGCGTATACACTGTACACTGTATGTCTATATAAATTAATGCGAACCAGTATATATTTTGTGTTTGTTCAAAATGATTTGAATTCTGCTTGAACGGTCCCAAACAAATTTATTAATACATGACAAAGCACGGAACGCTAATGTATTAAACACTGTATTCGTGTATATACACATGGTAATATTTTTTAATTATAACGTTCTATCATACGAGAAAATACGAGATTAATGCCTATATGGAGCTTAATAATGTTAAGCACGTTTTGGTGCGAAGCGTTGAATGTAACATATTGTTTCTGTTAATGATAAAATTTAAATCGTGATTGCTTTTGTTTCACATGAATTGGAAAAAATAAGATGGTTATTCAAAATGTTTGTTTATCATATACCTAATGAATATTATGAGTTCCAAAAAGAAGCATTTCGAGTGGTCTTTACGAACTATTTCGAAATATTGGTAAGTATTTGATAAATTAAACACTAAAATCCGTTAAAAATAGTAACAAATAGTATAACATATGATTCTTGTAAATGGATAAAAAAAAAAAATAGAATATTCTCTGTTATCAATGATTAAGGACTCAAAATATTACTGATGCATGATACAATAAAGAGTTTAAATTAGTACATACTATTTCAGGAACTCAGGGTATGTATAATATTATATTTCTTATGTTAATTGGTGTAGGTCTTGGTACAATAAAGTAACGATTTAAAAAAATTGTCTGGTAATATAATATTCGAGGTGTCGTACAATTTTTTAAAATAGAATTTAAGTACAAAATGAAGACAATAATAAAAATAATAATGCAAAGCCCAGTAATCTTGTAATATGAAATGCTTGGCTATTTAGATTTTTGGCAGTAAAGCCACATTTCATAAATAAAAGAATATTGTGATTTATTATTACTAGGTACCACTGTGTTTAATAATTTAAGTAGTAGTTAAAAAATAAACGATTTCGAGTCTAGAAATGATTAATTATGATAAAATGAGTTTATTCGTTAAAATGTCAAATAGGTATCCATGATATCCGAAAATTATTGAAATACAAATTCACTTATTTGCTATTAATAGAACTTTTACATATAATACACATACACAAAATATATATATATCTTTATTGTGTTATTATTTACTTGTCAGTCACGTCTCTGTATGCCACATTGGAACATTTTACAACATGTCACTATAATGCAAAATAGCCAAATATGGCAATTTATAATAGCATAATGAGAAACGATATTTCATAAAAGACAAATATACAGGAAAATATTTAAAAATCAGTTTTGGATCTCTTTAAACTGATGAGTGATCGTTAAGCGGTAGAAAAATAATATTAGTATTTATTCAGTTTGCCATTTTTGTCATTATTTACAAACGTAACTTTGAAGACTTAGCGTTTAATGTTTAGATAAAAAAAAAACTCATTCAAAAGCTATTTAATTAACTTTTGGGATAACGCCAATGGAAATTGACCAGTGTTATAAATTTAAATATAAAAAACTTAACAAAAATATGTATTTAATTTTGAAATATAATTTTTTGTTTTTAGTTAACTGTTAAAAAAATAAAAGAATAAAAAAATATCTTACATTTATAATTAACTAATAACACTTACGGAGTATAGGTATAAATTCGTTTCATATCCAGAATTTCTGTTTTTCTCGGACGTGTAAGTTTCATCCTTAACATCACCTGAAAATTATAATAACACAATATGATAAGAATGTTTTTAATACGTTTCGTAACCAACTAAACAATAACTCGCAGATATTATTACAATTATATAGAGTATGTGTTTAGATATAATACATAGCATATAAATAATATATATAACTACATATCGACATAAAAAAAATGATCAATGGGTTTATGTTTTTGGGGGGAAATAACGACATTTTTTTCAAAGCATACAAATGTCTCGGTATTATTTATAAGTGCTTATAAAAAATGCGTTGTAATACATTTTTCCTTACTAAAATGTTCGAGTGTACAACATAGTCTAATAATACTGTAGGGTAATAATCATTATTTAAAACGCAAACCGTTAAAATTTGATTATAATATTATTATTATTATTAAAATGTTAAATATCAAGATTAGAGAATAATAATATATATATATATGTGTGTTAAAAATTGTATGTACAAATTAATAAAGTATAATAGTAGAAAAACACTAGTCTGTTGGTTAATGTGCGATGAATCATGAAGTTTTCCGCGTTGAAGCAACTGACATTTCAGTGGTATTATCATTACGTTAAACTACTCTTTATGTTTTTTTTTTATTTATATATATATATATATATATAAACAAACGCTGTTTTTTTATCGTTTTATACGATTACAAGTTAAACTGATCGCTAAATCTTTAGGACATTCAAAATGACTGTTTTTAGAACTGTATGAATTATATGTATATTGCGTGGGTTACGTCGGAATTTCTAAAACCACATGATTAATTAGTATACTCGGAAACATGTTTTCGAAAAATATACCATTTAATTCACCGATGAGTAATTGAAAACATTATATTCGAAGTCCATCGATTTGAACCAGTAGGGAAGAGCTGGGAAATTTTCATTTACGCCCTGACCCATTTTTACACACTGCCTGTTTGTGGTTAGAGATAGAACGGCAGTGGGAGCGGTTCTATTGATTTGCACTTCAATAAAAATGTAACGAACGTTTTTTGAACTAGAGACAAAAAAAAAACTTTTACGTTTTTTATTTTTATTATGACTTTTCCCCTAACCACAATTTACATAAATAACATCTATTACAGATGGATAAAAAAACAATAACGATAAGAATAAAAACAAGGAAAAAATATTAAAAATAAACTAAAAATTACCTATGCGGACATACGGACACAATTGCATTTAATTTAATATAGTGAATGAGTTTTCAAAGTAAAAAAAAATTCATATTATTATCAATAGATTAAACATAGAAGTGCTTCTCAAAAATTTGAAGGATGTCGACTAGCTTTAATTTTATTCAATTTACAACCAGTTTATTTAAATGTTGGAGAAAATAATTAATTTTCACATTGAATTACCCACTTATACCAACGTATTATTAATTAACAAAATTATTTTATGACTATTTTATTTAAAACTTCTTGAAGAAATAAATGTTAAAAGTTATAAAAATAATGATGGAAGTATAATAATAGTATAGAGTGAAATTAAGTTTATTTAATAAACAAGGAATTCAATCTGAAAAATAAACACATTAAATTCGCATTACTGTAAATTAAAATAAACTATTAATTATGTAAAATTATTTGAGTTTCGAGAAATACGAGTAAAAAAGTCGTTTAAAAACTTACGAATAAAATTAATTGTTCGCAAAGTTTTGTATTAACAACAAACACATCCATAATGATTTTTTTATGCAGTAAAATTAATTCAAATGTTACATATAAAAAAGTTTTCAACTAAAACCATATTGGAGCATAATAATTATTGTTATGAAATTTTATTTTGGCTGCCGCCACCGACGCGAAGAATGATTTTAATACATATTTTATGTTCATAAATGTTTTTTAATGTATTGCACTCTAATATATAATTGAAATGACTCGTTTGGAAAAAATAGTATGCAAATGTTCTTCAATTAAAGAAATTATATGGAAGCACCAATTACTTGCCCTTGGTTATGTATCAAGTATTTCCGTTACTGTATAATACGTGAATTATTTTAGCGTTATCAAAACAGTTTTCGTTAATTCGCCGCATTATAGCGTTCAATAATAAATGAAACTACAACAATATCAACACGTATCGCAGGCTTACACAATAGTATGTGTTATACTCCTATATTTTGACGACGGCCGGCTTAGATGTTTAAAAACCTAAGGGGGTTGTGCAATAACAAATATATACGTTCCAAAACACATTTTGAAGTGTACGGGCATTTGAATGTTATGCACGTTTTATAAAACGCCGTGTGTACTATTCGCGTGGCTATGAAATTCTCATGCGATTTACCATAAAATATTCGATCAGTGATGCTGGCGATATTGACGTGTAGTATTCGATTGGTGGAAATATTTGACCGCACATAGTATACGTATGCAACAAAATAAAATAAATTCGTTAAATGGAAACGTTTATTTTAAGGAATAATTGCATCGGTCCACAAAACAGTTCGTTGTTTAGAAGTTCGTAAAACAGATATTATACAGCAGAGTAATAATTTAATATGTTCACCGCGATTGCCCTTGTCCGCTTTGTCGGACGACGTGCATTGATCAACAGTAGCTATTCGAGAGTATTTCATAATTGGTATGGATTTAATTAATTTTCTTCGTCTAACTATTAATTTGTTTTCTTTTTTTTATTTATTTATTTTTTATTCGATTGTGCTATGCAATACTATGCATGGCCGTTTCAAAACTATACTAATTAAACATATAAACATTTATCAGGCTATATACTTCGTTTAGACGTCGTGGACGTGAAATTCGATCCGCGTTAACTGTTCTGGCCTTGGACCGCAGCTCGTCGAAAAAACTTGTAGCACGTAAGCACCTACGAGTACTTATAACCATATACATGTACAGGACTAAACTGCAGCGCGGTAGAACGTCACTCGCAATCGCGGAAAAAATATCTTGATACACTGCCGATCTCAGGCATGCGGTCAAGATTAATTTCGAGCAGGCGTGTTGCCGACTTCGAATGGCTGATGAAATTATTTTCGCCACTACCCGTTAAACCCCCATACTATATCCATTGCAAAATCTCACCGGTTCGTCATGAGAGTTTTATACTTTATCGATGTTCTAGCAATGAGAACTGTGTTCGAGTATAAATGCGTATTGTGATTAAATCGGCATTTTCGATTCATACGTGAATATATTATAGAGTATGCGACACACGTTATGTTCACCGCCGTATGGAACATGATTTATTTTTGACGTTAACGCCGTCGATGGTGCGTATGGGGGATGTTCTGACGGTAAAAATGACTCTACGGCGAGCCTCACGACTTGTCGATCACGAATGTCGAGATTAACTCATCCGGAGGTTTGTACGTTTTAGATGTTTCGTATCGATTGGTATTTTAGTGCAACGGAGTCTTTTGGCGTATTCAAAGAGAAAAATGGTGCGATAATATATTTCGAAATAATAACACGATTTACATATTTATCTAGCGTACTGCGGAATACGATATTTTCGTTCCTCTTTTACATGGATGGGAAAGGGTGAATCCAAAACAGAATCGGAATAAAAACTATGTAGCGAGCGGTTCCGAACCTTGACAATTAGTGACGTCAAGTTCGATTTTTGTCTACTTAAAAAAAAAAAAAAAAAATACCATTTCTATAATGATTTTAATTCAATTATTATCAAGACAAACTTTTGATGTTCAAATGTTGGTATTCGCACAACCTGACGCCGAGTGTAAAAAACGATGCAAATATAAACGTCCTCGTAACGTATAATTAACGACGGAATACAAGCAATCTGTGTCGCGTAGCAACTTAGAATAATTTAAAATTGGTGGTAAGAATAGCATTTTACTGGTCGGTCGCAAGTACCTGCATTGCAGCCGGTTTATCTTGAAATAATGAATTACCATTTAGTATTGGTTCACTTTTGTACTATACATTTTGTGTTATTCTGACTGTGTATTGAATCATAATTGAATGTTTGATATTCTTTACTGTACATATTTTAGAAACTTATGTATTTTGTAAATAAATTAATATGGTTTCAAGAAAATGTCCAATAATAGTCAAGTTTAATTACATAAATGTATACATTTTCTCTCTCACAACCATGACGATCTCCAGCGGAACGTTGTTGTATAATGATTTCATATGGCATTCAATTATGTATTACTCAATTAGGTAATTTTCGTAAAATATCAGTATTATTGTTTGGCTATAATATTCATTAAATTAAAATAACTTGAATACTATTAATATATTTGACTTTAATATGCGATTTAGGACAAATGGACGCAAAAAAAAAAAAATATATATTATATATATATATATAAATCGGTAAATAAAATAAATAAGTTATTTATATTTATTATAATATGTAAATTGTAATGTCAAAAATATTCATTCAAAAAACTTCACCATCGCGATTTGAATTAATTAATGACATCTTACATGTACACTTGAATGCAATTTGTACACGACTAACACGGTTATAGATGTGTATTGTCGTGTCTCGTGTATCACCGTGTTTCGATAAAGTGTTACATAAATTATTACACGTTTTAAAAACCAAAAAGGTTTATGTATTGATATAAAAGGTACCTATTGCCAAAACGGTCAAATTCGATAAGGTTTGATATTATGATACGATACCATTAGTTATATTATGAACATAAAATATCAATGGTTTTATAACTTATAAATATATATACTTTTTTTTTGCGTCCATTTGTCCCCACGTCCAAACGGCAATGTCCAAACGGCTACGTTAATTTGTTCCTATTCGTTTAATATGGCATCAAATACATTTACTTTGCTTACAACAGTTTTGGCTCAAGGCACATCGATTATACAGCAAGGGATCTAATGTTTAAAGAGTGAAATGGTTATATAAGTGATTATCGGCTACTGAGAAATTTAAAAAAAAAGAACGAAACTCCTAAGTTGGGTGAGATATTAAGGTCGGCCGAGATACAAGGGTTAGAAAATGGTATTGTTATATTGGTGTTAAACTT